CCACATGTGTAACCACTACTCTACCAGGCTCCTCACACTAAGCCAATAATCCCAGAAGTTAGGCTATACGAGCAACATGACATCAGGATTGGAGGAAGGCGCATTAACAACCTGTGATAGGCAGATGCCTGCTGAAAAGGAAGAGGCCTGGGAACATTTAGGGATGAAGATCAAAGACTACATATTCAATATGGATTAAAACTCAATGGAAAGAAAACAAAACTCCACACAACTGCACCAATCAACAACATCATGATTACTGGAGAAAAGATTGAAGTTGTCAAGGAAGTCATTTTGCTCATATCCCCAGTCAATGGTCATGGGAGCAGCAGCCAAGTGCACAAATGCGAGTGCACATTGCATTGGGCCAATCCGCTGCATAAGACTTCTTGGGTTGAAAAGCAAGGCTGGTGCTTTGAAGACTAAAGTGTGCCTGCCCAAAGCTATGGTATTTGCACTTGCCTCATGCATCTGAAAGTTGGACAATGAATAAGATCACAGAAAAACTGATGCCTTTGAATTATGATGTTGGTGAAGAATATTAAAAGAACCCTGGACTGCCAAAAGAACAAATTAATCTATCTGAAAAGAAGTACAGCCAGAATGTTCCTTAGAAGTGATGATGACAAACCTTTGTCTTTGGATGTGATCAGGAGAGACCAGTCCTTGGAAACGTGGAGGATGAGTGAAAAAGAAGAGGAGCCTCCGTGACATAGACTAACATAGCAACTGCAACAACGGACGCGAGCATACAATAATTGTAAGGTGGACAGTGTTTCTGTCTATTTTACACAGTGGTCAGTATAAGTCCACATGAGGCTAAATGCCTTTCTGTAAGGCCCTGAACAGTTACATCAATGTTGAAAGAGAACAGACTTGGAAAACTCACTCTTCCTGATTTTGAAACATAATTTAAAGCCACAGTAATGAAAATAAGCTGTTACTAATATAACCACGGACCTACAGACCAATGGAATAAAACTGAGAGTCCAGACGTAAACTCAGACATTTTCAGTCAGCTGATTTTTTAAAATAAGGTTGCTAAGTCCATTCGATGGGGAAAGAAGAGTCTCTTCATTAAATGATGCTGGCAAAATTAGATTTCCCCCTGGAGGAAAAGGAAACTCGATCTATTCTTCACACCAGACACAAAAAATAAACGGAAAATTGATTACAGACCTGAGGAAATGGTGTAGTAGAGACCACATCCGACTTCATCCAGCGTCAGCGGGGCAAAGGAGAAGCCAGCTCATTCAATGACAGCCCAAGGCCAAGTGCTGCATGGCATAGATCGGACAGGTCTCCACCCTCCATCCTTCTTTACCCTTTTCTGACACTAACCATTCCTCCCAGGGCACTCTACTTCTCTACTTCGAAAATTCCTTACTACAGCCGGTGGACTCACAATCATGGAATTTATTAGGAAAGCTAACTATTAGAAAATGCTGCAGAAACAGTTCTTCAGTCTGCCTCTTCTCAACCATGCTGGCTTGTGTCTCTCTCTGGTCTCCCTCTTGGCCATGTGATCTCGGGCCAGGAAGCTCACCATTCTGCATCATGGTCTCGGCGCTACCCCTCCGCTCTGTGTCAGGCTCTAACTGATGCTGCCTCTCTGGCCCCTACTGCCTTCACTGCCCCTCCCTCTCAAAGATTCAGCTCCCATGTGTTCCACCAGTTGCTCTCTTTCTTGAAGGTCATCAGGCAAAATTGACCAAAACCTTCTATCAGCGTTTCATACACCCTATTTGCATGGCTCCGCCCAGTCATTTGGTACGTTCAAAAACATGGATAAAAGAGTCATACTAAGTCATTTCATATATATGGTAAGTAAAATCATAAAATTGTTAGAAGAAAAGACAGGGCAGTACTGTTGGGTCCAGCTTCTAACAGATTATCAAAGTATAAACAGCAAACAACAAAATACATACACAGGATCCCATAAAAAAATTTAAAATTCTATTCACTAAAAACGACTTGTTGGATGTGAAAAGATAAACTATTAACTAGAAAACTATCTTTGGAAACCATACAGCCAACCATTACAGCTAATAACTGTCACCGTCCAGAGGTCTGGACCTGAAGTGAGGGACGACCTGAAGAAAAAGAGTGACCAGTGGACTGATGATCCCAAGGCAAATTTTATTTCCAAAGTACAGCTTTATATATTAATGAGGCAAGGAGATATAACATGCATAGAATAACAATAACATTGTGATAAAATTGCTCTAAGCACAAACAATTATTTGGGACTAATCTTATCTTAGCAAATGCAACTGTGTTCTCAGTGCACATGGGGCACCTCAGAAGGTGGGAACACATATGACTATCACCCCAGCATTGCACAGGGTCCCCAAACACCCCAGAGAGTCACCAGTAAAATTCAGTGGCTCTCTATAATAACTAAAATACATGTAATAATAGGAGCCCTGATGATGTGGTCCTTTATGCATTGGATTGCTAAACACAAGGTCAGCAGTTTGAACGCACCAGCTTCTATGGGAGCAAAGTGAGGCTTTCTGATCCTATAAGGATATACAGCTTCAGAGACCCATGGGGCAGTTATAGCCTATCCTATAGGGTTGTTCTTAGCAGGCTCATACTCGATATCAGTAGGTTATGTAAAACCATCACAACAGCAAAAAGACATTCTCAATCATAAAATGGGCCATGTCACCACAAAGGACATTCAAATGGCTACCAAACACATGAAAAGATACTAGCTACATCACTAACTATCAGGAAGATGCAAATCAAAACCAAAATGAGATTATCATTTCACTACAAGTAGAATGGCTAAGTTTAAAGAAACAAAAACAAAACAGAAAATGTGGGCGAAGACATGAGAAAATGTGTACCCTTGCCCATTGTTTATGGAATGTAAAATGTTTTCCATTGTGGCAAACAGTGTAGAGGTTCCTAAAATATAAAACTAAAAATTGAACTACTCTACGCCCCAGAAATTCCACTTCTATGTATATACTCAAAAGACTTGAACACAGAGACTCCTACAGCGACGTGCAGCATTAGTCACACTAGCCAAAACGTAGCAAGAGACTAAATGCCCTTCAACAGATGAGTGGAGGAATAAAAGGTGGTGCATCCATAAGAGGGAATGCTACTCAGCCAGTAAGAGAAATGAAGTCCTGATACATGCCACAATATAGATGGGGCTGGGAGACTTTATCCTGAGGGAATGACAGTGGACTTCAGAAAGTTCATGGGAAAACAGAATTAAAGATAATAGAATTCTTGCACAGACTAGTAAGTCCATCACCAAAGGACAAATTTGTATGACTTAACTTATATAAAAAGACATGAAAATTCAAATATATATATAGAGAAAAATAACTATCAGTTACTACCAGGAACGGGAAGGTTGATGGTGATGGAAATATTACATTGATAGGGGTAGGACTGTATAGCCAATTGTTATTGCCATCAATAAATTTGCACTTGTGAAATGTTGAATTGGCAAAAGTTGAGTGGTACATATATTTACAAAAATGACCCTAAAAAGAAATAAAACTTGCTTTTCTTTGATACTAAATAACTATGTAGATTACTAATTTACACTCTAGAGCAGTGGTTCTCAACCTTCCTAATGCCTCAACCCTTTAATACGGTTCCTCATGTTGTGGTGACCCCCAACCATAAAATTATTTTCGTTGCTACTTCATAACTGTAAGTTTGCTACTATGATGAATCATAATGTAAACATCTGATATGCAGGATGTATTAACCAGGCGTCCTCAAACTATGGCCCATGGGCCACATGCAGACCACCAAGGACATTTATCCGGCCCACCGGGTGTTTTTGCCCCTTTGTTTTTTAACTTCAAAATAAGATGTGGGCAGTGTGCATAGGAATTTGTTCACAGTTTTTTTTTTTTAAAAAACATAGTCCGTCCTCCAACAGGTCTGAGGGACAGTGAACTGGCCCCCTGTTTTAAAAGTTTGAGGACCCCTGTTAGGTGATCCCTGTGAAAGGACCATTCAACCCCCAAAGGGGTCACAACTCACAGGTTGAGAACCGCTGCCCTAGAGTGATGCCCTGTTCTGATGGAGTCCCGCTTGCCTTGGCCTCTGCCACGTGTGCCAGGGGGCTTATCGAATGTGGCCAGGAGAGATAGGGATGATATTCCTCCGCTCTATTTTCCCTCAGTATAATCATGTGGACAGGAAGTGCCAAAGAATCTCCCCTAAATATATTCGATCTCTAACATGCCCACAAAACACTACTTTGGTCATTTCAGGATGGTCTAAGATTCTGTCTGCTCCCCAATAAAGGTAGATACAAATTTCCATCCCCCTCATTCTAGGCTAACCTTAATGCGTACTTTGATGACTAGAAAGCGCCAGTGGATTAAGATGTTGTGGAATTTCAGAATTGCCTGTACAGGTCCTGCTCTGGAGGGAACTCACCGCCATGTTAAGATGTCCACTGACCCTGAGGCCGCCACGCTAGTCCACGCTAGTCACACAGAGAAGTTGCATGGCCAGGGAGGAATACCCAGCCAGCCACCACTTGAACCATGTCCACTCCAGCACAGATATATGAAGGAAGAAACCCCACGGGGCATTCTGAGAAAATAGAATGTAGAAAAGAACAGAGAACCCCAGTCAAGGGCAAGAACAAAGAGCCAGATACTCAGCCCCGGTCAAGTTCCCCCAGAAGAGGGCCCCCTCAGCACGGAGCGCAGACACACTATCGATTCTGGGCATTTCACAAACTCCTGGCCCCCAACACTATGAGGCTAATAAAATGGTGGTGGTTATTACAGTACATTTGGGGGTGGTTTGTTTCACAGCAAGTGGGTTTTCTTTTTCAGCCATCTGATAATATTTGTGAAATTGATATTGCACCATCGTATTTGCCAATGCTGCCCGTCCCAAGAAAATGTTGATTAGGAGAATGTTTGTTATAACTCAGCACAGTAGTCCAAGCAGAGCAGTATTTCAATGCTAGAGTGAAATGCAAACTGTATCTCTTCTTGACACAGGTACCTGAGATGCTATTATTGGGCAGTTCGGAGTTTAATTACCATCGGGGGCCTTCCAGAACCACAAAATACATTTGAAATTGCTTTTCAGCTCTTGAATTATTTCCTGGGAGTCTTCGTGTTCTCGAGCTTAATTGGTCAGGTACGTGGAAAGGCCCTCCACTAGCTGCAGCGCGCTGGGGCTTTTGAAAGGCTAACAAGGCTTTGGAAATCTTGTGCAAACTCGATCTGATTCCCTTTCTCTTTTAATGAATTAAAGGGAATTCAGTCAGCATTGCCTCGCGGTTTTCAAAACATGAAATCTGTCAGGTGACTCAGTGGAAACTGGAGCCAAGTGCGTGTATGTGAGTGTGTTACATGTGCCTCTCGATGCACGGCATTTGTTCTTCTATTGCCCAGGTTTACTGATCATCTCCCTATCTGGGCTACAATAATCTCCACCCTTTCGTTTGCATTTTCTCAAAGCCAAGCGTAGAATCTCGATGAATACTGAATATCTAGACGAGTTACAAATTACACTAAGAAGACCTGTCAACAATTAAAGTTAATGTGGGCTCCCAAAGAAAGTTAAATTTATAAGCTAACTTCTTAATTGGGCATCCTTTAAAAACACACACACACACATACACCTCAAAATTGTTATTATTTATTTAAACTTCAAATACTTTTACTAAGTCAGTGACTTTAAAAAGTGACTTCAGAGGTCATTAAAGCCAGAGGTTGCCAAGTGCCGTCCCAAATAATTAATACCTAATTATTCAATGTTTAATACGGCATCTGCTTGCCCTTATTCTCCAGGAATCACAGTCTACTGAAAAAAGTAAAATAAATATTAGAGGGCTTCAAAAAGTTTGTGGAAAAATTCCATTATTTTCGAATCCCATTTTTCACTAAATATTTTGAATCGCCCTCGTACCTACATAAGTGTAACACAAGGTTCCTGTCATTGGAAAGGGCTATCGCCCCAAATCTTTGTGAATTCCCAAATACACATGAAAAAATACTATAGAACAGCATCTTTAGAAGTTGTACTTTGAGTGATACTTTGCAATCCACATGTTAGGGAACAACAAAGCGTTGTTGAGATTTGTGTGCTGGGTGATGAGTTTGGTTAAATCATGACATGATTATTCCCACTAGATAAATGATTAATTATTTGTTCTCCTATTCATGATACTACTGTGCTATGCTTAAAATTCAGGCTTTAACAAGCTTTGATAATAAAAACTGTTGTTTGTATCATTTGGAACTACTTACGAATATGTAATCAAAATTCAAATTCTACAGCCACGGTGAGCAACAGAGGAGTGATTAAAAATTCTTACTTTAGAAAACACGAGGCTTCCCATGCATCAAGGAGGATGCACTGAAACTATATTTTTCAGAAAGAAAGTAGGATTACTGGTAGCTGTTCGGTCCATCAGGCTGAGGAACAGGGTGTGAGAAGACGGCAGGGATGAAGGCTAAGATGTGCTGGGGAAGCAGAAAAAGATACAGCACAACTGCAGGAGAGGATGGCTACATACAAAGTTAGAGCCGGAGGTAAAAGTAAAAATGTTTTAAGAGCTCTCCATGTTAAGTGCAAGACGCTGGATTTGATCCTGAAGAAGAGGATCAGTCGGGGAGGACTTTGAGAAAGGAGATTCAAGAACTCTTAGTTGACATGTAATATACATTGGAGCCAGTGATACCAGGGGTAGAAAGCCCAGATTAAAGAGAGCAAACTAGTCCAGGAACATGACAACCCAGTCTGAACGGGCTGATGGAGTGGTGAGGGGCACCAACTCTAAAGAAGGCTTTACTTGAAATAAATTGAGCTGCAGGAAGATGGACATCCCATAGTCAACAATGGTATAAGATATAATTATCCATTGATGGGGAACCTGTGGTAACACTGGTTGAGAAGTAGGAAGATGTCCTACAGACAATTCCAATTCAAGTCAATTGGCTGTAAAGAGTAAAAACCACATTACGTCATAAATTTTCTTATATCAACTATGTGTAGCCACATCACATGTAATGTTTCATTCAATGAGGAAACTCTGATTTTAAAAACTTAGGAGGCATCATTGTTGTTGTTGTTGTTGATGTTGTTAAGCGCTATCAAGTCTATTCTGACTCATGGCGGCCTGTGTAGAACAGAACATAACACTGCCCCGTCCTACACCATCCTCATAATTATTCTTATGCTTGAGCCCATTGTAGCAACCACTGTGTCAGTCCATCTTGTCCAGGGCCCTCCCCTTTTTCACTGCCCCTCTGCTTTACCAAACACAATGTCCTTCTCCAGGGACTAGTCTCCCCTAACAATGCTTCCAAAGCATGTGAGATGCAGTATCGCGCCATCCTTACCTCTAAGGAGCATTCTTGGTGGACTTCTCCCAAGCAGATTTATTTGTTCCTTTGTTGGTTTGTACAATTAGGAAATTACAAGGCCATAAATAATAATACTTATGGGAATTATTATATCTAAAATGTATTGAACACTTACTTAATCCAAGGCAATTTTCACAAGACTGAAAAAAAAAATTCTAGCCGCAGTTTAATTCTCTTGCCCCCCAAGTATACTCACGGGATGTCCATTGGCATCTGCATCACTCGTGAAATGTTGAATTCGGACCTTCGCTGAGATGGACTGAGTAATAACCTACATTTGGACCAGATCTTTAGGTGATTTACACATAAATGGATAGTTTACAAGTGCTGCTATATGCACCACACCACCGTGCCTTGATCGTGAACATGAGTTCAACACAAACAGGAAAATACCAAGTCGCATTAATGTGGGACCAGAGCACAGGGAAGAGGATGAGGCTAAAGATGGAGGTTAGGGCCTTCAAGAGCTGTAGTGAATACAGCATGTGGAGAAAGAAGCCAAACGAAAAGTGAGAGGCCCTGGGACAAAATGTTCACGTATTCGATATTTTTCATACCACCACACACACGACCACACCTGGACCTGTTCATAATACGTAAGCCATGATATCCCTTCCTCTTATACGCATATAGACATTCTCTTCTTACATCCTCACTTCCTCGGCCCTTTGGAAACACATCATGGATCACAGGTCTTCCACAATCCCCACTGCAAAACAACCCAACATTATTGAAAATAATACTAGTATGAGATGATGCCAACTCATAGCAAGCCTATAGGGCAGGGTAGAACTGCCCCTGTGAGTTTCTGAGACTGTACATGTCTACAGGAGTAGAAAGCCCCATCTTTCTCTCAAGGAGTGGCTGATGGTTTTGAACTGGTGACCTTGCATATCACAGCCCAACTTGTAACCACTACACCACCAGGTCAACATTATTGAAGAAAAACTAATAAATGTTCAGATTATTGTCACTACCCAGTACTGAACAATAATGCTTTTCATTGCTTTCTGTGTCACACATAACAGTTTACTCAAGCTCCTACTCTATACTAACGTTTTAAGTCTCCAAGCTATGAGTGTCTTGGTAATTTAGCGAGCTTGGAAAGAAGGGATCTGGCAATGGAGGCTGCTGAAAGATATTTGGAATAATATTGAGGAGTAAATTAGAGACTCAAAAAGACATATTCCGTTTGACTGCATATAGAACACCTCCCCTAGGCGGCTGATGATTAGAAGAGTCCATTAACTCTGGAGATGGAAACTGAGGATTATGCCACAAAAAAAGAGTCACTTGAGCTGAATCTCAAAGAAGGAGTAGTTTGTCTGTAAGCAGAAACAGCTCAGCTTCTAGAATGAACGAGCAAAGTCTTGAAGGTGTGAAAGTATGGCCCTGCTTTTCCTCCCTATTATAAACCCACAGTCAAGGCAAATTTACAGCCACTTTCTCCCCCTCGATGGGAGAGGAAGAGTTGAACTATACATATTTTTTGTGCTGAGCCCTTAAAGATCAGCTTTTAACCCAGAGTGGATTTTTATGGCTGGGTTATAAACATCCCAGAACTAAACCTGACAGTTCTTTAAGTCTTGTCACAGCACCAGATGATGCTTCAGTAATTTCAGCACATTTCAACTTCTGCTGAATACTTGCCTTAAGCATGATGAGATTTGAGTTTATCTGTCTAAACAACACAAAGGGAAGTACAGAGGTTGCAATTTCAGGATGAATGGAGTCTATATTGTTATCCACACTGGATAACCTGTGAAGGATGCTTTCAAAGCAAGACTCACCAAAAGGGACTCGCCATTCTGCCAGGTAATTGCTCAATTTTCATTGCACACTCCTGTATAAGAACAAGTTATATGGTTTTCTAACTATCAGCTAACATTTTTGCAGTACTATACAAATGTACAAAAGAGATGTGTGTGCTTTAGGTGACTGCTGTCCTCACAAGAACATCATGTGATGGGCAAAATGGGCCTTATATCGTTCTTGGGACAGTGAGAAGGTATGGCTTTTCCCAATGTTTTATGGAAAAGGTAAAATTAGAAACCGATATCAATGTGTTCAAAATCATTCATTGCGTTGGAAGAGAACTGATCATGTGAGAACAGTTAAATTCAACTGAACTTTTTATAGCTTATCCCATTCTTCTGCTGGGTGTGGAATGACCATGTTTGTGTTTTAGATGCGAGATGTCATTGGGGCTGCCAGAGCCAATCAGAATAACTTCCGGGTCTGCATGGATCAGACCATTGCCTACATGAACACCTACTCCATTATCAAAACTGTGCAGAACCGGGTTCGGATTTGGTATGAATACACGTGGGACTCTCAAAGAATGCTGGGTAGGCCTGGAAAATGACCGATTCAAAGCCTATACACCCTGTAATGTAATAAAAAAAATATTTGCACGATAGAAGCAAAAGCTGTTTAAACTCCACAAGCAACAATAACATTAATTCAGTGACCTTTAAAATCATGAATTTTATACTATGGGATCCTTTTTCTTACATATCCAGCATAAGATATTATGCGACATATGAAAACCCTGGAGAGGTAAAGAGCAGATTTTACTCAGTGACTCCTGATGCCAGGTTCATATCATCTTCCCGAAGAAAATGATGGAGGAGGAGGACATCAGGCAAAGTGTGTTATCAATCTCTTTGTAGACACGAGGAAATGGAGGTTCTTCATGAAGACATTGGACCAAAGGCATAAAGCCTGCACTAGAACTGCCCCTCCAGCTGCTTCGTCAGTTCTCCTATAAAACCCTTCCTCTTTCACACAACATCACAATCCCTCCCAGATCACAGCATTCAGAGAGAAGAGCAATCTCTCCGACCACTCCCATCCTGCCTTGGCAGGTTCGATTGCTTCCAACAGATCCAGAAGAAATAATGAAGTCTATTCTTGATTAAAGACGGAGCCTGGTGGCGCAGTGAGCAAGCGCTAGGTTGCTAAGTAACAAGTCAGGTGGTTAAACCCCTCAGCTGCTCTGTGGGAGAGAGATGTGACAGTCTTCTTTGTAAAATATTTGCAACCTGGGAAACGCTATGAGGCAGTTCTGCCCTGGTGTGTATGGTCGCGATGGGTACAGAATCCATTCCACAGCAATGGCTTTGGTTTGGGTTATGATTTGCTAGTGGCGGTGCTGTGGAGTCTATTCCAATTCCCAACAACCCTGTAAGACTGAGAGCGAGCTGCCCCATCGGGTTTCTTAGGCTACCATCTTTACTGGAGGACACTGCCTGTTCTTTTCTCCCTTGGAGTGGCTGGTAGGTCGGGTTAGCACTACCGACCTTTAGTAGTTCATCATTGTAGCACCCGGACTCTTTGTCTGTTATTAGTACCAAAATGCTGATGTAAACATATATCACTCCCTGCCATCCAGTTGATTCTGACTCACAGTGACCCTGTAGGACAGACTAGAACTTCCTCTGTCAGTTTCAGAGACTGTAACCCCTGGGGGGGGGGGGGCGCCCCATCTGTCTCCCAAGGGAGACCTGGTGGTTTCAAACCACGGACTCTGCAGTTAGTAGCCCAACATGCAACCACTAGAGATTGGTCTAGTAGTTACCAGAATGAAATTCAACTTTTAGCTTGTTCTTTACCATATGACAATAGAAATTAATGCCACCGTGAAGCCAAAATGTCATTTCCTCCAAAGAGAAAATTGCAATTCTCAAATAGCCAAGGTTCCTAACAGCAAAGAGAGATCCACTAGCTGTTGCAGAGCACGCATTCCCCACCTCCCTTCCACGGGTCAGAGACTCCAACCCCTACGTTCTGAGTTTCTCTCTAAGTCCAGAGTCACCCAAGCTCCGAGCCTCTATTTTGAGCTCCTCCAGTTCCTGCCAGGGGCACTTCATGGGGAGAAAAGACACCGGACGGCAGGCCCCTTCCCTCTCTGCCTGGAGTTTTACTGCTGCTTACAGAGCAGGTTCAGAGCCCTCAGAAACAAGCAACTCCGTTGTCTTACAGAGGAGTTTCATCTTTAGAAGCCATATTGAAATCAAAATAGCAATTTTCCTGAATGTAAGACAAATATCAACAATAATCAAGTGGGAAGCCTTTGGCATATTCCATATTAAGAATAGGCAGTTTTGCTTATGGAACATTGGATTAGCCTGCAGGCCTATCATTTCAGCTGAATTCACATATAGAAAAATCTTTAAAGTATTCGTATTGATCACTGAGTTCATAAGCAAGTAAACAACAATGATTCAAATTTACTCGCTTAGCACATTTATTCCTGGATTCTATTCCAGCTGAGCTGCCTACTAACTAGGCACAGTCACAGCCTCTCTGAGCTTCCGTGATTTTTCTTCTCCTGTTTTCTTTTGGCAAAATGAGCTGAATGAATACCTACCCCTGTGGTTGCTGTGTGGGTTAAATAAGATAATAAATATGAAAAAGCTCTGCCAGCTTCCAAATGCCACGTGGCACTTGCTGTTTGTGCCACCCACCAGACACGATGGAGAGAAGTAGTCGAATCAGAAAGCAAGGAGTGGACCCTCTTTCAGGCCCCGTTTATTCCTAGCCTTTGCCCCATGATCATTAGGCACCATATCTAAATTCTATCCAAAAAATATGTTCTAGAATTATGAAATGCATATGTCATCCATAACTGAAATGTCTTTTCTTTAACGGACACATTCACGCTATTGTGATTAGGTCCGCATGTCCAACTGATAGATAGCCTTAGATGCATCTTCTGTTGATCGAAAAGAGTTGGCATTTTGTTTCCTTGACTTTGAAAATGTTTCTATTTATACTTAGTGACTTGTTTTATGAAGGAGTCTGCTTTTGTGAACTCATGTGTTGATCTTTCCTAAGATGAGTCTGATCTGCTGGAGACCCTGCCCTCTACAATGCAGTCTGCCCTCGCCATTGATGTGAACTTCAGCATCATCAGCCAAGTCGACTTGTTCAAGGCAAGGGTCCTCACAAGTAATCAAAAGGCAACTGTGTCCATTTCTTTGCAGAATCTAGGCTCTTGCCTTCTACAGCATTTGTGATGTGTGAGCGGGGGCGGGGGGAGGTCGGGGGTGGGGAGGGTTGCATGATGTTTTAACAAAGTCAAAATAACCTGGAGAATTTATATAGAATTAAAGAGTCAAATAAGTTACGAGTCTCTCTTCGGCAGATGACTTATTCTTTAGAAGCTTCTCTCTCCTAATTGGTGTCAGAGAAGAAGAGCTCTTCAGACTCTTCTTGCATTAATTTAAATATAATTAAACCCTACAGCTCTATGTCTTTGTTAGTATGCGCTTCATCTCCCGCTGGTGAACGTGCCCTGGCATTACATGCCAGATCGGGCCCCGGAGTAGCTCTGGATTGGCCTGACAATCAGAGAATCGTGCCGAATCACGTTTCCTATTGCAAATGCTTTGGATTTAGACTTCTAAGGTGGCCAGATTTAAATTTAGAAGCTTCATTTTTTCTGGGAAGAAGTCCATTCTTTTTTAATTCTTGAATGATGTTGATTTTACTAAAACTGTCTTTATGTGCATCATTATTCTACATGTAAATATATTCACCTAAGATTTAACAGTGTGTGTGACACTCCCTGCTTCATCTATTCAATGAATCCAGTCAGTACAAATTTATTAAGTCCCTCCTATGTTCTCCACTCTGCGTCAGCCATTGAAAAGAAAACAGCTTAGAAATAAATGCTCATATACATGAAGTTATAGTTCCAGAAAAAGAAAAGCTGAATATGTATATTGTGCGTGTGTGTGTGTGTGTGTGTGTGTGCGCGTGTGTGTAAAACATGTGTAAAATCAAGCAAGCTCCTCAGTGGCTTGAACAGAAATGAGAGGTCCTTCAATGGCATGACCAGCTTATATATTCTTACGGCTAAACTGATGGTTGGCAGTTTTAATCTACCCAGAAGTGTCACAGAAGATAACCCTGGTGAGCTGATTCCATTAAAATTGCACTAAAAAAAAGAAAAGAAAAGAAAAATATGGAGCTGTTCTACTCTGTATCACACGAGGCTGACATGGGTCATCAAAACCAATTCAAGGGCAACAACTAACATTGAAGCGAGGGGTAGCATGGATCATGAAAGGCTACGGTGACATTGGCGTATGAGCCATGCAGATGGGAATCTGGTGAAGGGGTGGGGGTGGGGATGAGGGAGTATTCCAGAAGGGCCGACAAGCTGGAGCCCTGAACTGGGGGAACACGCTACAAGGAGACCAGAGTGGCTGGAGAAGAGACAGCAGGAGGGAAGACAAGAGTAGTCAGAAAAGGAGGGCTGACGGGCCAAGAGGAGCAACTAAATGTCGGGCCATGGAGGCTGTGGTTGTGCTCTGAGACACAAAGCCACTGAGGATCTTTATTTTAGTCATATCAAGAAGACTTGCACAATTATCACCACATCCAAGTCTACAACATTTCCTTCTTCCTTGGAAGCCACTGAGGGTTTGGAGAAGAAAGTAACAGCAGCGATCTTGCTGTGTGGAAGCAGACCTTAGGAAGCAACGGTGAATCCAAATGGGAGTTACACTAAAACAATGATGGTGACTAGAACCAGCAATAGAATTGTTGAGATTCGGTCATATATTGGATGTGTTCAAAGGCAGGGTCCACAAGTTTTGCTGTTTGATTGTGTGACTATGGGGTTGGGAAGTGGGCCAAGGATGACTCAAAGATGTAGGCTGTGCAACAAAAGAAAGGAAGGCACCATTTGTAGGATGGGAAATCTTAGTTAAGTGCAGATTGAGGGGGAGATGGGTATAAAGCAAACCTTTGTTTTTACATGTTTTAATGTTAGGAGATGAATGTTAGGGGCTCTGATGGCAATGTCATTGGGGGCAATTTTGATTTATACATTGAAGTTCAGGGGAGAGGTCCAAGTTAGAGAAGCAACTTATATTTGCATTTTGATGCATCCTAAGCCAGAAAACTCAATATGATCTCCTAAGATATAAGAGAAGAAAGAAAGAAAGAAAGAGAGAGAGAGAAAGAAAAAGAAAAAAAAGAGAATCCAAACAGAAATGTATGACGGGGAAGTGCATGATCAATGCCCTTATGGACAAGATGAAGAGGCAGAAGTTGGATAGCAGAATGGCTATACAAAAATCACTCCCCAAGTTATATTATCTAGTAATATCTACAATCTTAAAGTTAGGTGAGTATCCTGAGATTTCTCCTTGGTAATATATTGTCCTAGATTTCTATCAATATTTTGGTGGAGACGTAAAAGGCAAGATTTTCAAATTATCAGGTGATACAAAGTAGAAAGGAATAGTTCATGTGTTAGAGCATAAAATTTTGAATTGCTTAAGTACCTTTAAAATAAGGAGAAAAGCTAATTTCCATAAACAAAGGTACCAAGTTCAAAGGTCATTGCTGCTGCTGCTGCTAAGTGCCAGCGAGTCGGTTCTGACCCACAGGGACCCAATGTGATTCTCTCTGATTTGGGAAGTTAGCAGTTTTGAAGCCTCACGGTTCTTTCCCCGACCCCACTCCTTGGCTTCTACATATATTTTTTGGAAATACATAAAATTGGCAACTTCTGACTGGGGGGAGGGCTCAGTCTTCCTATCTTCTTGCTTTCCTGACATTTCCATGAGGCGACGCAGTGCCATCCAGAAAGACGCTGTTTCTAGGTATACGTCTGTTAAATGGCAAAGTTATTTTTCTTCTACAACCAAGTGAAGTAGAAAATCAGAAGGTGAGGAGTCTTTCAAAGTTCATGTTCGTGTACACAATCTGCAGTTGACACCGATGTGTGATTTCCTTAGGAAGGAAGGGAATAGGTGGGATTGTGGACACCTTTATCTCATGGATCCTGTCCCCTTGATCCTTGTGCTGCTTCTGAAGCATATCCAGGGTAAAAATGTGCAAGGGATGTTGTGTCGGAGGGATGTGTGCCTACAAGGATGCTCAGCGGTTATTTGGGTTACGTTGTATTCCCCACTCCCAACCCCCCGAAGAGATGTTGAAGTCCTAACGCACAGTCCCTGAAAGTGACCATGACCTTATTTGGAAATAGGGTCTGGGAAGATGTTACATGGGGTTCTACTGGAGGAGGGTGGGCCATAACCCAACACGACTCATGTCCTTATGGAAAAAAAGCAAAGGCTCGGCTGCAGATGAAAGATGGCCTTGTGAGGAAGGCAAAGGTAGAGCGTGGAATGAAGTCGCACAAACTCAAGAATCCCTGGGGTCCCCAGAACCTGGAAGAAAGAGAAAAGGAAGGCTCTGCCCCGCTACAGCTTCAGAGACAGCACAGCACTGTGGACACCCCGAATTCATATGTCTAGCCTTGAGAACTGGGACAATCCATGTCAGTGGTTTTAGGGGCCCAGTGTGTGGGTTCTTTGTTACAGCCTCTTTGAGAAACGAATACAGGAGTCTACCAGGTGAGAAGACGAAAGTCCCTAAGCAGAGACTCACAAATACGGAAAAGCAGGACCTGTTCACAGAGCAAAGAAGATCCTTGGGACCAGATCATAAGGATGAGGATGATGACCAAAGATGCATTTAAAAACAAAGCCACAGTAGCCGTCGAGTTGATTCCAAGTCAGAGTGATGCCGCGTGTCCTGAGGAGAACTGTGCTTCGTGGCATTGTCAAGGCTGTGGTCCTTCACAAGCCCGGGTCGTGCTGGGGGTTGGGCACTGGGCTACTAACAAGTCGGCAGTTCAAACCCACCCATCCATCTTCAGGACAGATAGGGCTGTCTGGTCCCAGAATTATTTGCAGCCTTGGAAAGGCCATGTATAGGGAGCTCCATGGACAAAGCCATGTCTTTTAAAACAGTTTTATTAGCACTTCCTCCACATGTCATACAATTCAATAATTCAATCACATCCAAAAGAGTTGTACAACTATCACCACGTGACATTCTAGAGCATTTCCAGCTTCCTTGTACTCATCGTTACACGTGTTGAACAAAGCCAGAGACATTGGTTACATTCGCCATGTTGTGCAGGCACCGCCACTACCTATTTCTCTACCCTGCACCATCTGGAAATGGGGATCCCTGATGTGAACCTTCCACCTCTTTGAAGGTCACATAAGCAAGAAAGAGGAGAGGGAGGAGGACCGAAATCTGACATGAGGATGGGGAGCTGACAGCCCCAGCTGTAGAAGTAGTTACTAACCGGTTCTTGAAAATAATTTCATTTATAAGCACCTAGTTTAAGATGCTCCTTGGAATCTCTTAGGTTTATACATTGGCTTTTCAATCAAAATTGTCAGAAGGAGGTTTCTCCGTCCATTTGGAAGTGGAGTTGTGTTTGCCATGCAGCACCAAAGAATCATGTAACCGAAACAATCTTCAGTTTTTCAAAATCTACGTGGGCTGCTTTAACGCTACGTTTTCATACTGCTCTTCACGGCCTTCAGGCCGATTGGGACTCAGAGTGACCCTGCAGGGGGCTTTCCAAGGCTATAAATCTTCAGGGAACAGAAAGCCTCCTCTTTCTCCCTCAGGGAACCAGGTGCAATTGAACTGCTGAGCTTGTGGTGAGCAGCCCAACTTGTAATCCACTGAGCCACCGGGGCTCCTTACTCTGCATCATACTCAGGCAAAAAGTTTGCATCGTATTCAGGTTAAAAATGTATGTGATACGCCTTTCCTTTTAGCCTTGTGAAACGTGTTTACAAATTGGTGGAATGCCATGTGTCAGACTGCTTTAGCAAAAGTAATGCAAGTCATGTGAGTGTCATATAAATCATATTACGGGCAATGTCCCATGAAGTTTATCCATACTGCCCACATGGACTTTCAATGCCAACAGCACGGCCGACACACGCGGTGGCATACACCTTTTTTAAGTGGCATCGAAGCACTGTCAAGACTGAGTGTAAAATCGTTACCGCTGGAGTAAGAATGCCTGAGCTGTAAGGATTCTTCATGACCCCCCATTTTGAAACTGGTTCATATGTCTTCACAAACGTAATAACAGTTGCTGTTC